TATTTTATTTTATTTTATTTTATTTTATTTTATTTTATTTTATTTTATTTATTTATTTTTTTTGCAAGTCCACATTTTTAGGTAAAACCTTGGACTGTGCAGTCTGATTAGAGGGAAGTGGCTAAATGAGACTGCATTGCCCCGATTGACCTGCTGTGTAAGTCTTCTTATGAAAATGCTCTCTGTGACTCCCATCCCCACAAGGTCAATAGGGGTCAAGTAAAAGTTAAGTGTGAAATATGCAGGGAGAGCTAATGAGGCTGAGTCCCCTTGGTATAGAGGAGGATTTGTTGGATCTCAATTACAACATGATAATTGGCCCCTACAAAATATGCAATGGAAATTAGCCGTTGCACTTGCACCTATATAAAATGGTATAGTTTTAACTATAGCTTAGATAATTCCATTCTTACCTTATGGGGAACTCCCAATAAGACAGTATTTGCCACCGCCTGTGTATTTGGTCCTTTTGTACTCCTCTTAGGCCCCATCCAGATGTGCCTTAATGTAAAAAACTATCTGTATGAGGTGTCATGCACAGGCTGCACACTATCTCATTGCATGAATTCTACATTCCATAAAGATTCCTTCATGATTTTAAAACAACCTGCTTTCGCTTGGGTTCCTACTAACCTAATTGAACCTGGGGAATCTCATCAGACCTACCAACTGTTACATGACCTGGTAAAAATCTTAAAATGACAAAAAAGATTTTTGGAATGTTAATAGCAGGACTCTTTGCCCTCATAATATTACTTACTTCTGTGGGAATTGCTGCTTCATGCATGGTACAAACTGTTCAAACTTCCCAGTTAAGGAAAATACAACTAAGACCTTGTTTATACAAAAAAGAATTGGCAGCCAGTTTGAGATAGAATTAACAGTACTAAAGTCTACAGTTTTGTGGATGGATGATAAAATCCACAGCATAGAGCAAAGAATATCCCTTCAGTGTCATTATAGTTTTCCCTAGATTTGTGTTACCCCCATTCCTTATAATAGTACCTTATACCCTTGGGAATCAATAAAGAATCACCTTCTTGGTGCTTGGGATAAAGGTAACAGAATCCTTGATATTTTAGAATTACAGCAGCATATTGTACAATTATCCCAGGCAAACTTACAAACTAATTCTTTAGATGCCTGGCAGCAACTTAAAAAGGACATGAAAAAATTTAATCCCTTTCACTAGATCTCCTTACATTTCCCTCTTAGCATAACTACTATTACCTGTCTCTTCTTGTTCTTATATGTTTATTTCTAGTATGAAAATGTGAAATAAAGAGCCTTAAAAGGACTCAAGCTCTTCAAGTGGCATACATTTTTCAAGATTTATTAAGAAAACAAAAAGGAGCTGAGACCGGTTTAGCTCAGTGGATAGAGCATCAGCCTGGGGATTGAAAGGTCCTGGATTTGATTCCTGTCAAGGGCATGTACCTTGGCTGTGGGCACATTCCCAGTGGGGGGCATGCAGGAGGCAGCTGATCCGTGTTTCTCATCGATGTTTCTAACTCTCTATCACTTTCCCTTCCTCTCTGTAAAAAAAACAATAAAATATTAAAAAAAGAAAGAAAACAAAAAGCGAGAGATGCTGGAAGCTATCCATTGTTAACACTCATGAAAGTGCAACCAAGAACTTGGAAGGCTGATGGACCTTGAGTTTTAGCAAGGGCTAAAGCTATGTACCAATTGTTCTGTTGAGATAATGGTGGCTCAAGAAATTTCCTGATTTAATAGTCTCAAAGTAAATCTTTACTAATATTTACTGACCTTTAAGATAGTCTGTCTGTTACCAGATTGCCTGCCTAACTGAGGGCAAGATGTGTATTCTAAAATTGAATAAAAGCTAACAGGGCCAGGGCTTTGGGGAGCCTATCCGCTATAGAAACGTTTTCACCTAGCTCCCATGCCTTCTAAATTCTTATTTCTTTTTTAAAAATTTAATATATCTTTATCGTTCAAATTATTACAATTGTTTCTCCCCCGCCCCCCCCACATACCTCCCCTCCACCCAGTTCCCACTTCACCCTCTGCCCTTACCCGTCCTCCCCATTGTCCTCATCCATAGGTATACAGTTTTTGTCCAGTCTCTTCCCATACCCCCAACACCCTTTTCCCCCTGAGAATTATCAATCCACTCCCATTCTAGTGCCTGATTCCATTATATTCACCACTTTATTCTGTTCCTCAGATTTTTAATTCACTTGATTTTTAGATTTACTTGTTGATGGATATGTATTAGTAGTTGTTCATAATTTTTATCTTTATTTTTTTCCTCTTCTTAAAGAATACCTTTCAGCATTTTATACAATACTGGTTTGGTGGTGATGAATTACTTTGGTTTTTTTTTTTTTTTTTTTTTTTTTTTTTTTTTTTTTTTTATCTGTGAAGCTCTTTATCTGACCTTCAATTCTGAATGATAACTTTGTTGGGTAGAGTAATCTTTGTTGTAGGTTCTTGCTATTCATCACTATGAATATTTCTTGCCACTCCCATCTGGCCTGCATAGTTTCTGTTGAGAAATCAGCTGACAATTGTATGGATGCTCCCTTGTAGGTAATTAACTGTTTTTCTCTTGCTGCTTATAAGATTCTCTCTTTGTCTTTTGCCCTTGGCATTTTAATGATGATGTGTCTTGGTGTGGTCCTCTTTGGATTCCTTTTGTTTGGGGTTCTCTGTGCTTTCTGTCTATTTCTTTCACTAGGTGGAGAAGTTTTCAGTCATTATTTCTTCAAATAGATTTTCAGTGTCTTTCTCTCTTTCTTCTTCTGGCACCCCCATAATTCTAATGTTGGTACGCTTGAAGTTGTCCCAGAGGCTTCTTACACTATCTTCATATTTTTGGATTCTTTTTCCTCTTTGCTTTCTGGTTGAGTGTTTTTTACCTCTTTGTATTTAAAATCTTTGACTTGATTCATGCATTTCTCTAGTCTGCTATTGGGTCTCTGTATAACATTTTTTATTTCAGTCAGTGTATGTTTAATTTCTAGTTGGCCCTTTTTCATATCCTCGAGGGTCTCATTAAATTTATTGGCCTTTTCTAGGAAATTCTTGAAAAACCTTATAACAGTGGTTTTGAACTTTATATCCAGTTGTTTGTTTTCTTCCATTTCTTTCATTTGTGATCTGTTTCCTTGTCCCTTCATTTTCACTGCTTCCCTGAGTTGGTATGATGGCTTTGTGTGCTAGGTGTCTTATATGGTCAATGGATCAGCCTCCCAGTTAACTGAGGTGGACATTCTTGGTGCACCCCTTTGTGGACTGTGTACAGCCTTGTTGTAGTTCAGTCTTTATTGTTGTTGGTGTCACTGGGAGGAATTGACCTCCAGGCCAATTGGCTGTGAAGATCCACTGTGTCTATAACGGAAGAATTACTGTGCTGGAGACATGCTTATGGGGCAGGACTTGTTTCTGTGGGGCTTTGGTGCTCACTGAATCCACTTCTTGAATGTGTCTCGTATGTGAGTAGTTGAAATCTGGTGTCATCTTACACAGACCACTAGATACACTAGCTTCCGGATCTCCAATGGGATGCAGATCAGCTACTGTCTGAGGCCACCCAACAGGAGGTAAAGCAAGAACTACAGTTTTCTCCTCATTTCTTGGGTTTGGAGGTTTTGGAGCTGTCTGATCAGAGCTGCAGTTTGTGATAGGGCAGGTCATTTATATGCAAAAGCAGCTGTGCAGAGCTTGGGTGGGTTTGTAGATTGTGCGGGTTAGGGTCTCAGGGCGTCACTAGGTTAGGGTGTGCCAGCCAGCCTTCTTTATGTTTACACGTTTCCAAGTCCCCGCTTCCTGTGCCACAGCGCAGTACACAATGATTGCTAGATGCACCTCTTCAAGAAAGTCACCCTCACTTTCCAACCCGATGGCCAGCAGTCCAGCTTCTCCCTGTTGGAGTTTGGGTCCCCAGGGTCTCCCCAGAAACTGGATTTCAGAGTAATTCAGAACTTGTCTCCAATCGGGTTGAAAAAACCCCAGCATTTCCAATCACCCACCACCAGCCCTATAAGAGAGCCTCTGTACCTCAGCTTTTCAGCGCTTGTGCACATCTCAATGCTCTTTTCTCTCCTTCTAGTTGTAGAATTTCCACTCAGCCAGCTTTCCCATGGTTCTGGGTGATAGGCGGTTTGTCTGTTAGTTATGGTTTTGAAATTGTTGTGCAAGGCAGCACTTCAGGTGTTTACCTATGCCACTATCTTGGTTTCTCCCTTATATCTTATCTAGTGAATTCATTTGTGCGTTAGCCCCTTTTCCAGATCCTGAACTCTAGCTGCAAATGGATGTGACTTCATAGTCACCTTTGTCACTGAATAGTTGATTAGGAACATTGAGAGCCAAGGACAAAAATGCTAGCCAAGGACCAACTTGCAGGCAGTTGGTTGTTTTTTTTTAATGATAGTAGCTGCAGGCCTGCCATGCAAATTCTTTTTTGCAAAGTAAATGCCCATATCTTTAAATCTAAATGAATAAGGTAGATATACATCTGAATTAGTGTACTTAATTTAATGTGCATAAAAATAAAATGAAAATATGATAGCTGTTTTCTAAAAGTGTTTAAAATATTTACTCAATCAAAATTAATATCTTTAGCCGAGGTCGGTTTGGCTCAGTGGTAGAGCGTTGGTCTGCGGACTGAAGGGTCCCAGGTTCGATTCCGGTCAAGGGCATGTACATCAGTTGCGGGCACATCCCTGGTAGGGGGTGTGCAAGAGGCAGCTGGTCGATGTTTCTCTCTCATCGACGTTTCTAGCTCTCTATCTCTCTTCCTTCCTCTCTGTAAGAAATCAATAAAATATATATATATTAAAAAAAAGATTAATATCTTCAGTAGCTTTAAAACAATGTTATGTAAACCACAAACTACGTTAACATTATTTAACAAGTAAGGTATCCTATTTTCATTGGAAAAGCACTCTATACTGTATTGTCCACAGTGAAAAGAACAGTGTTTCTATATTGGCATGCAAGCCAACGAATACCATGACTTCTTCCTCCATTTGCCAATAAAAGGCCTGCCACAGTTTCAGTCTCTGGCTTTGGCACAATGGCTTTCCTTTCTCTTTGGGCCTGCTTACTAATTGGCTACTTTTCTGTTTCATTAGCAGAAGCATACAATTTCTCAGATCTGTATCCTCCCCTATGGAAGGAGAGTCCTGGTCAGTTCAGTGACTATAGGATAAAAAATGGGAAGTACATTATTAATCCCTGGGTATATCCTGAGAGATTGGGGATGTATAAAATTCTACTGAGCCAGACAGCCAGTTATTTTGAAAAATTTGCACCAGAAAATGAACAAAATATATTATGGGGACTGCCTATACAGCATGGCTGGCAATATACTTCAGGTAAGAATGACTCTTGTTTTCAATCTAATGATCTACCAATATAACCACATAGTAATTGGGAAATGGGACTCTATATATGTCATATGATGTTTTTCAAATTGATTATTTTATTTTTCCTCCTTCTCCCACATAACCACTATTTTCCCCCTTTCTTCTTCTCTTCCATAAGTCCTTCTTTCATGTATTGCCTATTTTTGTAGAAACTCCAATAGCATACAGTGTAGTTGCCAAACACAAAAAAGACTTCATTTTTAGCCTACTGAGCATTCTGAAATTATTTATTGAACTTCTACTAGATGTCAGACTCCATTTTAAACAGTGAGATGAGCAAAAACAGTTAGGAGGTGATACATTAAAAACAGAGGTGGTATGAAATTAATTTGAATTCCTTAGCATTCTAATTATGTTACCTTTGTGAATGATGGCAAATAGTGGCACCTTGTGCCTAAGGGATTTTTTTTCCTGCAAATGATTTATTCCTTTTAAAAATAAAGTAATTTAATGTTCAGCTAGATATGTTTGTGCGAAAAATTCATAAATTAAAGAATATTTTTGTTTCAGCTGACAGAAGAGCTCATAAAAAAAAGTGGTGCCTCTTGCTCATATTCAAGACAGGCAATTCAAAAGTACAAAATTGCAGTAATAAAAGAAATTGGTTCAGAGGAGAGAAATGAAGGATAAAGAGTGATAGGAAGAATACTAGTCATCACTAGTATTATAGGGGGATCACTTCTTAAGTTAAATAAATGTATAGCCACTATATTATATACCTGAAACTAATAATACTATCAACTGTAATTGAAAAACAAATCTAATTAATTAAAAAGTTAAATGTGTATCTTTACAAAAAACAAAAACAAAAACAACAAACCACACACCGCACTTAATTGACAATTATAAACAGTTTAAAAATGTGCCTAATAAATAATTTATGTATCTTCTCTCTCTCTGCCAGGCAGATTAGCGGATCCTAGCCAGAGGACAGATTGTGGCTATGATTCTGGCGACCATTTGTGCATCTCTGAGGACAGTTGGTGGGCTGGTAAGTTCATTTAAATAGCAAAATAGGTAATAGCCGACCCCTCCTCCGCTTGCCCCCCCCCCCTCCCTGAACAAAAACAAAAAAACAAAGAAACCACTAAAACAACAATCATATATTCAACATAAAACTCTAGGGACAGAGATAAAACAAAAACGTTACTATTCCTTTGTTAAAATAAATCTACTTCATGTGTCCTGTGGGCTGTATGCCACATTCTAGGATGCAACAGCCGCAAGTTATGATTCTGTAAGACATTTTCTGCTTTTCACAGAAGGACTGAAACAGGGACTTCAAAGGTTGATGGCCTGACAGACCAGCATTGCCAGTTAGGTGGGAGGTCCCACTAGCGATAGGGAAATGAGAGGGCAAGAAAATGATCCCTTTTCTTATTTTGCTCAGAGCAAGTGTGTGTAGCTTTTAAACAAAAATTCCTCTACCGTAAGTCATTTTATCAAGCAGGAATCTAAGCCTTCAGTAAGATATTGAATACAACAATAATCAGAAGGCATTTTCTAAATTCTTCAGTTTTATTTTGTATTTTGCAATTAGTTTGCACACAATTAGTTTGCACACAATTCCTTATAGGCATTTCTCAATAATTGGAAACAAGATCTTACTAAAGTTCACTTTCCTGGAATGACACACAGCATATAAACCTTTACATATTTTTCAGAAATGACATGGATTGGGTCTTCTCAAAGACCCACGTAGAGTCAAGGCCACAGGTCTAGAATCAAGTCCTCACCCCACCCTACCTTCCCATCTTCTTACTCTCTTACCATCCCCTACACCTGTGCCAATCAATACATGGCTTTTGTTGCTGCTTTTTAAAAAATATTTTTTATTGATTTTAGAGAGGAAGGGAGAGGGATAGAGAGATGGAAACATCAATGATGAAAGAGAATCATTGATTGACTGCCTCCTGCACACCCCCAGGCATGTGTCCTTGGCCGAAATCGGCCGTGGGATCCTTCAGTCCACAGGCCAAGGCTCTATCCACTGAGCCAAACCAGCTAGGGCTATTGCATCATTAAAATATCACATTAAGTCTGAGGAATCAACGGAATCTTGCTGTTGCTATAGCTGGAAAATCAAGATCTTGTTCACCAGCCTGCTGAACTGGTCCTTATTCAGAAACATAGGCACTATCCAACAAGTTTCTGATATCCTTGTTTTTTAACTGTTGTGGTTTGCTGAATCACAGCAGCTGAATTTGATTAAAGTTCAGTGTTGTTTCCTTCAAGAATTAACTCATCTTTCTCGGCTTGAGATACTGAACAAGACATGCCTGGCCTCATCTGAACCCTGCAAATGTCCTTTTCATCCAAGAAATTTCTGATTTCAACCAGGGAACCGTTATGAATTAATGGTGTTCATGGGGGAAGTGAGCGTACACAGACCTTGTCTTGTAACGGAAGCACAGTGACACATCCTTGGTTATGCTCTGTACATGACCGCAGCCTGTCCCTTTCTGTTTCCACACCGTTTATCAACCCGGAGCTGCTTCTTTTTCTTTCCAGGAAGACTGAGTTATATCTACAGTGATGTGATGGAAGTGCCTCTGGGGCCTTGGTAAAAATAACTGTGCTTTCCTTCAGAGTGATGTCAACAGTTTTTGGAATGTCGACAGTCTGATGACTGAAAATGGTTTTCATCCTCTCAGTAAATGTGGCAAAAAAAGCTAGAATCGAGGTTTTTGGTGTTTTTTTAAAAAAATATATTTTATTGATTTTGTACAGAGAGGAAGGGAGAGAGATAGAGAGCTAGAAACATCGATGAGAGAGAGTCATCAATCAGCTGCCTCTTGCACACCCCCCACTGGGGATATGCTTGCAACCAAGGTACATGTCCTTGACTGGAATCAAACCCAGGACCTTTCAGTCCCCAAGCCCACGCTCTATCCATTGAGCCAAACCGGTTTTGGCTTGGGTCTTTTTTAATTTTCAGATTTACTTAGTAGTTTGAAGTATCAGTCTGCTATAGTGAATGTGGGACTGCATTCACAAATGGATATGTATGATGAAAAATTTTCTGCATCACCAGTGGGAATCAGTATAGGCTTTACAGCCAACTATATTATAATATCTGAACCTGCTGAAGTAGGTTATATGCAGAGAGAAAAGCAACTTAATTCATTGTCAATTTAATTATCCAAAGATCTATTGTCAACACTTAATCCAACATTTTTACTTTAAAGACTTAATGTAATGGAAGGACTCTGTAATGTCATGGTTGCTCATTGAACTTGCTTAAATAAAATACAAAATATCAATACTATAACCACATTAAAATATATTAGAAAAAAGTCACATATAGGAATCTTTTTCACGACCCCCGTGGAAAGAGTTCCAATTCAGGGTTTGAGTTCTGGAGAAGTGCCACACACAAATGAAAAGACTTGAGACTTAAAGCAATTCAATTTGGCGATATAGGGGGCCAGGCGGTAGTCCAACTCTAGTGGGAGAACTACTCCTGCTCTGGCCCTGCCATCCCCTTTTATTGAGGCTTTGGGGAAAACATCTTAGGCGACATAAACAGAAATTCACATGTAGCCCTTAGGCAGGAAATAACAGAAACTTATGTGAGACAAACAAGGTGGAGGCTGCTTCAGCTAACAATGTCTCAACTAACGGGCGGGTGGTTAGAACAATTAAGGTTGTTGACCAACCTTCCTGGCTTCCTGTCAACATCTCTTTTTAGTAAAACTGATTTGTTTTCCAGCAGTCATATTTCATGGCAAAACCTCAGTTAAAATGTTATATTATTCTGTGCACAAGTAGATACTTATCTTCCTTATACACTAACTGCTTCGAAAAGAAAGTATTAAATCCATTAAAGTGATGCTTTGTTTTAAAACATTATAGTTAACTACTTTAACTTATATTCATGATTGTAGAGATATTATCAGAAGCATATTAATGTTAAATATATAATTCCTATGGAGAATTTCAATTTTTTTTTTCACTGACTGTTTTAATATATTGCTGGATCAGTGAGTTTTTGATTAATGGTTTACAGATTTACTTAAAAAATATCCCTGATCACATTCATTAGTGCTTGTGGTGATAATAGGTGTTTTGCTCTTACAGACATGAATTACTTTCTTTCTGCAATACCCTTCCTGGCTGCAGTTAGCTCTGACATAATGGGGATATCATCAGACCAAGTCACACTTTTGCCACCACCCAAGGATCAAACAAAGTTTTGTCTTAATGTTTCTACTTGTCAGTCATCCTTCCCTAAGACAATGAGAAAGTGGACTATCTTCTACCAGGTTCCATTTTATATTTGTAATTTATTCTTTTAAGAGTTGGTAAAATAAGTTTTTGTTTTTTGTAAAATGCTTTGGCTTAGGTTTTTGTGTGGATTCCACAATATTTTCCTCAGTATTACAATGTAAATTTTTATGCAAGTTATATTAATATTACAGTCCTACATTGCAGCAGGACATTACATGCCATCCACATCCTCTGCATCAATAAAGCATTAACACAAAATCTATCCACTCATCTCACACTAAAAAATTACATGTAAAAAATTATAGGAGAGCACCCAGGATATAACACTGAATGAAATTATTCTGGTTAATTGAACCTTTAGGTCAACCATGGTTTAGAGTTGATTTTTAAGCAGTCAACTTATTTGAACTGCATTAATAAATTACCACATATAGGTAGAACTAACAATTATGGGGCAATTAAAATCAAATATTCAATGAGCAATATAAAATACATTGGTGAAGCATAGACATGGACGAAGATCAGTGCTGAAAACATCGATTTTCTAGCTGTACAGTTTTAGTTCATTATTTTATTTTATTTTTAAAATATATTTTATTGACCTTCTACAGAGAGGAAGGGAAAGGGACAGAGAGTTAGAAACATTGATGAGAGAGAAAAATCAATCAGTTGCCTCATGCACACTCCCTACTGGGGATGTGCCCGCAACCAAGGTACATGCCCTTGACTAGAATCGAACCTGGGACCCTTCTGTCCACAGGCTGATGCTCTATTCACTGAGCCAAACTGGTTAGGGCTTTAGTTCATTATTTTAGATAAGTTTAAATGAAATATAATAATATTTTCTTTTTCTTAATTTTAAATTTTTGTTATAATTTCAACTATGGTAGCAGATAAAAATATAATGAAAATACAGTATTGATTGCTAGGAAAATATTTGCACTTCATTTCTTATAAATAGATTCAATATTACTACAAATAATAGGTAATTATTATAGTTTTTCCAGGGTGTTAGTCACTGATGGCTTACACAAACTAATTCTTAGAATCAAAATTCTTTGATATAGACTATTGTTAAATTGTAAATTTGAACAAGATGAAATTGTAGAGAAATAAATTGTTATATTTTCTCAAATATGAATTAATTTCTCTTCTTTACTATAGCATTTGCAGATACCTTCTAGTAGCTTTGATGACTTACTGAAGTACTTATGGGATGCACATACATCATCTTTGAAAGATGCTTACAAAATATTTACAGATAGGTAAGATTGGATCCCAAATAATTTTTAATATGGCAAATAATTTGGGGGGTTATTTATGTGTTTATATTCTTCTTATAATATAACTGTCAATCTTCCTATTAAATAACATATCTAATAATCAGGGTATTGAATGATGAGGTATATATATATATATATATCTTAGTATGGTTAGGCTCAAAAAGTGTTTTATGAAGAAAAAGCATAAATTTGAGAAGAAATATCTCATGCCAAAAAACCAGCACATAGAACTTACAACCAATTTCTCTCTATTTAAGGAAAAGACATTTTATTCATTATTTTGATTGCAGACATATACAATAATATGACTAGAGGCATGATGCATGAAATTTGTGCATGGGTAGGGTCCCTAGGCCTGGCCGGCGATCAGGCCTGATCAAGGCCTTCATTCATTCCATGCTGCCCCCTGACAGTCAGCACAAATCATAACAACTGATCAAACTCCTGGTCTCCCAGTCTCCTGAGGGGACAATTTGCATATTAAGCATATATATATATATATATATATATATATATATAAAACATATATATATTACATATATATATATATATATATATATATATATATATATATATATATATATATATATGTATATATGCAAACTTGGGTGAAAAACCAGTATCAGGGTTAGCACATTTAATAGAAAATGTAGCACAGCAGGGAGCAGACAACATTTCAAGAAGAATGAGTCTGTTAAACAAAAAATTGCAAGCTGTTCAGCATGCTTAGATGGTTGATAAGAACAGGAACCATGAATTATAGTGTTATAAAATGATTTCCTATACCCTTTACCTCACAACTGTGACAATTTGTCCCCCAAATATGTGAGAGAGATTGGTTTCCCGGAAGACTGCGTCCTGTAGGAAAAGCCCATGTATTTAGAACATTGGACAAGAAAAGCACACACATATTTCCTTAGAATGCTCAATATTTTGGAGGCCTCTTAACTTCAGGAAATCAATAGTCACAAAGGATGCATGAATCTCACAAATATGCTGCCTTGGAATCTTTGATTTTTATCTGCCCATTTCTAAAGAGTATTACTTAGTCATTGTCAAATATCAAGTTATAATATAACTAGAAGGCCGGTGCATGAAATTTGTGCATGGAGAGGGAAGTGTTCCCTTTAGCCCAGCCTGCACCCTTTCTTATCCAGGACATCCCTCTCACAATCCTGGATCACTGGCTCCTAATCACTCACTGTCTTTCTGCCTGGTCACCCCTAACTACCCTCCCTGCTGCCAGGTCACTCCTCACTGCCTCTGCATGCCAGCCTGGTTGCCCCTAACTGTCCCCCTGCCGGCCAGGTCACCCCTTACTGCCCCCCTGTCAGCTTAATTTTCCCAATTTCTCCCTCCTGCCAATCTGGTCACCCCTCATGTCCCTCCCACCTCCCCGGGCCTGGTTGCCCTACACAGCTTGCTGTTCAGTGGTTTGGTTGTCCCTCACTAACCCCCCTGCTGGCCTAGTTGTAGACAGCCATCAGGTGAGAGTGTGAAGGTTAATTTGCATATTACCTCTTTATTCTATAGGATATGCAAAGATAAGGTATCTTTTTAAAAGTGATAAAACTCAAAATAAAATATAAAAACCTGATTGAATGCTCTTTCACAAATTTAAAATTGTAACTACCTATATTTGTATTTTCAGTGGTAAGAACTCAGGCCCTAGCTGATTTGGCTCAGCAAATAGAGAGTAGGCTCATGAACTGAAGAGTCCCAGGTTTTATTTCAGTAAAGTAACTTGGTTGTAAGCTCAATCCTGCATGTGGGAGGCAACCAATCGATGTGTCTCTCTCACATTGATGTTTCTCTCTGTTTCTCCCCTTCCCTTCCACTCTATAAAAAGCAATGGAAAAATAGCCTTGGGTGAGTGTTAAAAGAACCCCCAAGAAATAAATAAAACACACCCATGAAGGTAGGAACTCAGACCATCACATTCTAAAACTAAGATCTACATTCTTTGTTGATAGAAGATGAATTTTTTTTTCCTAGAAAAGATTGAGTCTGAAATTCTTAGTAGACTAATTATAATTATACATGTGTCCATTTGTCTTTTAGATTTCAAGACTATTCTGAACCAGAAGTAAATTTTGGAAAAACTTGGTATGTGGCTGTGGGATATATAGCTGCAGCCAGGTTTCCTACAACTATGATTAAAACATATGAATTCCAGAAGAGTCTGCCACCACGAATGCTTGTCAATGGGGACAGAGCTCCCAACATCCATGACTTTACTGAACTTCAAAACATAGTCCTGCTTGGTTTAAATATTCTTCATGAAGCAGATAATGATACAGGTAAGGGCCTTATGAAAAATATCTTAGACAAGCCCTAGCCAGGTTGATTCAGTAGATACAGTGTAGACCTGTGTACTGAGAGGTCCTGGGTTTGATTCTGGTCAAGGAGAATATGCCCAGATTGTGGGCTTGATTCCCAGTAGGGTGTGTGCAGGAGGCAGCTGATCAATAATTCTCTTTCATCATTGATGTTTCTCTCTCTCCCTCTACTTTCCTCTCTGAAATCAATAAAAATATATTCAAAAATACCTTAAACAAGATCAATATAACATTTAGTTGTAAAGAAACAAATAATGATTATATTACACTGGAGGCCCAGTGCACAAAATTAGTGTACAGGTAGGGTCCTTAGATCTGGCCAGCAATCAGGGCCAATCAGGGCCTTATGGCTGCTGGCCAGGGCTTTCCTTCATTCTGCGACATCCCCTGGTGGTCAGTACATGTCATAGCGGGTGATCAAACTCCCTGTCTCCCAGTTGAACTCCTGAGGGGACAATTTGCACATCAGGCATATATATATATATATATATATATATATATATATACACACACACACACACACTTTCGAAGAAATTCATGCTTTCATATGGGTACCCATGTTACACATTTTTTAAATATATATTTTTTAATTGATTGCAGAGAGGAATGAAGAGGGAGAGAGAAAGATAGAAACATCAATGATGAGAGAGAATCATTAATTGGTTGCCTTCTACACGCCCCCCACTAGGGCTTGAGCCTGCAACCTGGGCATATGCCCTTGATTGGAATTGAACCCAGGACTCTTCAGTCCACGGGCTGAAGCTCTATCCACTGAGCCAAATTGGCAAGGGCTCCATGTTACACATTTTGATCCTTCCACTCATGATCTGTCCTTGTTGATCATGAAGCTACCAGACTACCTCAAGATCATGTTTTTAAATCTATAACCCATATTCTGTTCTTATACATGGCTCTTAAATTTAGAATGAAATAAAGAACATCAAAATAAACCCTGCTATGATTAATGGGGAAACTAGCAAATGTACTTATGTAAGCTCCCATCATCCAATCTTACTAATCATGGATGAAGCACTCTGCTCCATTTCCTAAACTGTAGAATTTCTAAGTAGAGTGAATCTATAATTGTATGTTTGAATAACCATAGTATCCCAATTTTCCAGATATGCTCTTATGCAGGGAACCAAGCTTAAAACAATTTTAAAAATTGATATTTTTAAAACAAACAAAACAAAATAAAAAATCTAAAAGATAGTACATTAAATACATGATTTAAAATCTTATTTTCATTAGTTAGAGTAACAAAAATACTCAAATATTTTAGGGGCTTTATGCAATTGGAATTTCTTGCTCCAGTTATGGTCCCATAGTTCACTGATAAAAAAACAAAACAAAAAAAACCAAAAAAAACAGGGGCTTTGTAAGTTTAAGTAATTCCCCAGATGGTGAATGACCCAGTAAATTTGCATCACGGAAGTATTATTTTAAAGCCTGTGCTCTTTCCCCTTAACAACTCATTCTGCATACAGAAATCTATGCTCTAGGATAGTTTGGAAACTGGTATTAATACATTGCTCTTGTTGATTGTAGTAAGGTGAGACCTGATAACTCAATGTTACCAAGTCTAAAAATTTCAAACTAGCCTAATTTCCTCACTAGTCTAGAAACAAAGAAGAGAAAAAGTGCTATCTCAGGTCTTAGGACATTAAATAGATTAGCCAACTGAGAAACATGAAACCAAATGCCCCCACCCACCAATCAGGTAATATGCTACAACTACATGGAGAAGAGTAAAGGATGCTTATGAAAGTTAAATGGAAATTAAGCATTACCCTCCCATCCCCAGAGTCTAGGATGATACTTCCAAACTGCTGCCTTTTGTATATTAACAGATCTAACCTGAAATACTCTATGTCTTAATTTCAATCATCTTTTTAAAAATTCTATTTTACTATTTTCTTAAAACACATTTTAATTGCTATACCTTTTACTTATTTTTAAAAGTACATCTAAGTATATATTCAATGTTTAAAAGTCTAAGTGTATAAACACATGAAATGAAAATAAAAATCCTCTTCATCTCTCCTCAATCATATCTCTTAGTCTTTCACCTATTTTTTAAAAATAGTTTTTGGTGCAAATTTCTAGGATTTTTTAATATATCAAACAGTGCAAATAAATGAATAAATAAGACCTGTGCTGTTTGTACAAATGAAATCACACTCGCTGCTCTGCACTATACTTTTTCAACTGAAAATTCTTCTTAGAGCTTTTCCTGCATCAGAAGGTGTTAATCCAACTATTTTCTTTAAAGGATATATAGTGTTTTATTTAATAAATTATACCTGTGGAGATTATTTTACGTTATAAGCTATTGGCAATAAAACAACAATGGCACTTTATACATACTCCTTGGGCACAATTTATTATCTTACCAATACAATTTTAGAAAGGAAATTAATTAAAATTGATGGGCCATATATTGGCAAATGGTACTCAAAAAAGTTTTTAGGACTTTACATTTTATCAACTATGAATTAAGGTTTATTCTCTAACCCACTGCCAAATAACAATTTCTATAATTTATGTTAGTTTGTTATGTAGAAAATGTTGCTTCACTATTATGTGAATTTATAGTGTTTGAATGTGTTCATGTATTTTATCCAGTTTTCTCTGAAGTTACTTAATTTTTCTTATTGATTTTTAGATGAAGAGCTGGTTAGCTAATTTTAAAAACATATGTGTAAAATCATCATGTAATGAACATATAATATTTGAATGTAAAATACATAATTTTATTTAAAATAAGCATTTCAATAATTGGGCTTAAACTTACATGTAAAAATTTTATATCTTTTCCAGGGTCATTCTCTTTGACTATATGGAAAATTTTAATGAAGACAGAACGTGCAAGAAAATTTGTTCTAGAGCTTTCAGAAATAATTCTTGAGGCTTTTACTCCAACATTTCTGGAAATAATGAGTTAACAATAAAAGTTTCTAATTTGTTGGGCAATAGCAATTTCAAAATTTAACACGGTCATAATCAGGATAATTTTCTTGACTCTGTTGTTTTTAAATTGTGCTTATTTGTTAGAATTTTGTCCATGCATACTTAATTTTACATTCAAATTAATGTTATATTATTTTGTCAATTAATAATACTTGACTTTTAATTCACCAATATATAATGTTTAGCATTTAAAGAAGTTGTATTAAACTCTTATAAATCATTGAGAAATTAATAAACAGACATTAAACTTATATGGCTCTTTTATTGCTAACTTATGTAACCTAATTTTATAAAATTTAGATTAATATCTTACTGATTTATAACCAAATACAGAACATTTGAAAAATTCTGTCTACTAAAATTTTAAAACTCATAGAACTGAACTGGCCAGTAGAATACCCAAGTTGTCATTTTGTGCATTTTCACTGGTCACAAATTTATAGCAATTGCATACGGTACTAAGTTTCCTCTCCATGGTCCACATGTGATAATGAATGTTTAAGGAGAGAATGCACCTGCCGGAAGTGGTTACATCCAAAGATAACATGAAGCTTTCATATGAAGATTTCCCAGGGCTTTATCAGACTAATGCTACCAACTAACTGTTAAAAATTAGATAAACTGGTTTGAATAATAGGGTCACTGGAATAGGAAAGGCATAGTTTAACTCCCAGGTCTATTGTTTCCTCATGTGAACTTGGGAAATTTTTTGTATCAATTATTGTTATAATGAAGATTATCAAGTAAAATAAAAATATCAAGTAAAATAAAAACATACTTATCAAGTGGCTAAGACTCTTCCCAATGAATAATACGCATTTACAAAAGTTAGCAGTTGTAACAATAATTGTGCTGAGAGATGGATGCATGTGTTGTATTGTGGGGCAGTACAAACATCTTTGATGAGCCAAGACCATGAATACATTATTTAATCCAAAAACACACTGAAGGTTTTCTGTTAGCTGTCTATAACAGAGGCAGTGGGGTAAACAGCCTCCCCAAATGTTGTGAAATAATTACACATCTATAACATGTCTGCCAGTATACAAAACCAACTCCTTAAACTACGTGAAGACAGATAATGCTAAGTAGGCAAAACCGCTCTCAGTAAAAAGAGAAAAATCAACAAATAGCAGTGCCTCCGTAATACAGATTTTGATTCCATCTGGTATCCACCTACCCCCCATCTTAGTTCTTACAAGCTGGCCTGGTAATTAAATAATAAAATTGACACAAAACTAGATTGGCAGGAAAGTCAATTTAACCTGTGCACACAGAAGAATCGAAATGATCAAACTAGGTACCCTTTTAATACTTTTTAGACAAAGAAACAATACATTTGTGATAAATTGACGGGACAAAGAAAGTTAGGTAGCAAATTAGCGAAGGTGTTACAAGGTTTATTTTTACAGACCTTTTTTTTTCCCCCTGGTTTACATCATTTATTTATTTGCTTACTTATTTAGTTTATTTATTTATTTTGTTTTTGTATCTTTTTATTTTTGAACATAAACTCTTAATTGAATAATATTTTGTTAAAGTTTATTCCCTGATTTTATAAGTTTTGGCCATTTTTATTTTATAAAAAATTATTTTTGTTTACTACAAAAAATCTTTGGTGCAATTTTTTATTACTTATAATTTTTAATAGTTTTAGAGTACTTAATAATAAATGTTCCATTATACCTTAATAAAAAATGAAATAAAAATAAATATTCCCTACATCAAATGTTTTATATGATTTAACAAATATATGGGCGAGGAAAACAGATTTACCATATATCTATACATTTTCTTTATTGATTAAGGTATTACATATGTGTCCTATGATCCCATTACCCACCCCCCCTCATGCCCTCACCCCCTCATAGGCCTTATCCATCTTTTCTAGGAAATTCTTGAAAAACCTTATAAGCGTAGATTTGAACTCTATATCCAGACGCTTTTTGTCCTCCATTTCTTTCATTTGTGATCTATTTTGTTGTCGCATTTCACAGTTACAGAAGGGACGGGGTTTCAGGGTGGAGCCTGCAGCTTTGGCTTCCGTCAGCCCAGCCCTATGCGGGTCCTTCAGTGCTCGCTGCTGGCGCCTCTGAGAGAAAGGTGCCTTTGATTTTCTCCTGCCAAACAGTCCACATGTGTCAAACACAAGGCCCGCGGGCCAAATCCGTCCCGCCAGGCCTTGCAATGTGGCCCGCACCACGCTGTCATCACTGCACTCCGCTGCGTTTCCATCACAATGACAGTTTATGACTGTTCAGTAAACCATTCGGCCCGTGATTTAGGCTGGATTTTAGATTTTGGCCCCTTCTCTGATTGAGTTCGACACCCCTAGTCTATGCTCTCCCCCAATGAGCCCGGTACTGGGGTTCAGTTCAGTTGGAAGTGGAGTTGGAGGTGGCGTTCAGAGCAGTCTGGAGCCCCAGTCTCCTTCCCGCCAGGGCAATCCCGCGGCACAGTCGACCGTCCCTTCTCTGCGCGCAGTGTGTGCGCCTCTGGGACCTCCTTTCGCCACTTCCCCGGGGTTCCGCCTTACAGCCCGGCTCCCTATGGCTGAGCCTGAGTCCCCGGGGTCTGGCCTAAAACTGGGGTTCAGAGCAGTCGGGGGCCCAGCACAGTCGGAGTTTTATCTCCTTTCCGCTAGGGAACGCCCGCCAGGCACTCGGCCTCCCTCCTCTCTGGCTCCGTCCTCTCCGCGCGCCGCGTCTCCGTACCTTGGGCTTTTCCAGCTCCTCCGCGCCTCCTTCTGGTTTTCTCCTTGCTTCTTGCTGTAGAATTTCCAGTCAGTCAACCTTCCTGTAGATCTGGGCAATGTCCGTTTTATATTTTAGTTATATTTTATTGAAATTGTTGTGTGCGGCTACGGCTAGGTGTTCACCTGGGCGCAGCCATCTTGGATCTGGACAGATTCTTGAAGTGCTGAGTTATACTTTGGAGTGTATAGGATGGGTGTCCACCTGGATTAGTAAGAGTTCCTTTGGTCAAAGTGATGAGAACTCAAATCAAACTATCTGGGGCAAAAAGGAGTATTTATTGGAGGATGCCTTGTTGTCAAGTGTGATTTAAAAAGTGTGACTAGTCAAGTTCTGGGAGGGCAGGGCTCTCACAGGCTCCAGGGACACCTGGAACCAGGGACAAGACCACGGTGGTCAGGCCTCTCTATTGCAGTCATTTACCTCTGCTCCTCTGCCTTTCAGCTTCATTTCTCCTACCCGAGGAGGCCAGCTTCCCATCCTACTTGCCCAGCACCCACAACCCACACCTTGCTGCTCCCGCTACCAGGGAGGCACTGGCTGGCCTTTGCGGATTCTAGTTGGGAAATAAAATAACAACCCGGGGAGGGAGTCAGAGACAGTCTGTTCAGGCCCGAGTTCACCCTTGGTGTATTCAGCCAAAACCAAGAGGTCACCATGACATGATTGACCCAATAGGAAGTCACGATGACATGATTGCATCCTGGGCTCATCAACATTGCAGGAAGTGTGGGGCTTTGGGGATTAGATCTCAATAACATAAATTTCCATTCAAACCATGTGACCAGAGAGGAGAAAAGGTCAGTTCCAAGAAGAAGGATGTTGACTCAGGAGGTGCCAGCAAATGAGCCATGTGAAAACACTCTGTGTCAGCAAAGATTTCAAGGGTGAAAAGGTCTTACTATTTCTCTAAAATTGGCCTTTTATATGCTTGAATTTGGGGCATTCCATATAAGTATTTCATTCTTTTTTTTTTTTTTTTCCCCTCCAATTTAAGGCAGCATCCATATTAAAACAAAACACAACTACGGTTGGAGGAATGTGCAGCATCAATAGTCGCCTACCTAACAGTTACTCAGTTTCACCCCTTTTTCTTGCTGGCAGAATCTGCTTGTCTCCATTCTATGCCCAGAATCTCCCATAATTGCTGGGTACATGGTAGGCACTCAAGAAATGTTAACGACTGAGTGGTTAATAGAGATTGAATGTGTAAAGAACCCCGGCACAGCACACCAAGAAGCCGTATGGGATCATAGTAAGGACTAGCAGAGATCTTAGATCAAGTCTTAGTTCTGAACTTGGGAAAGCTAAAATTTAGAAGACATACATGCATATACAGACTTTACAGATAGGTATCATGTAGAGTGCGTGTCTGGCAAATAATAATAGCCAACCTATAAAGTGTCAAAGACTTCTCTAAATGCATACACCTATTTACTCACTGACTTGTTACAACTCGTATGAGCTAGGTAGGTACTTACTATTTCAATTTCACAGATAAGGAAGCTGAGGTGCAGAGAGAATAAGTGATGAGTTCTCTAAGGTCACTCAGCTAATATAGTATTTTTGGATCCTTGCCTATGAAATGTTGGAAGCCAATCATTGTTTTAATAACAGAGAGCTGAGGACAGGGAATTCGGAGGGCTGGTCATCCTTAATTGCTCTAAAGGATAGAGCTAATTATTAGATATTGGTAGTTGAAGCAGCCCCTATCTGTTAATCCTAAATTCACTGATTAGCTTTTATTGGAGTTTTCTGCCTCGGGTATATGGTTGTATCCTATCATTTTAATCTTAATAAAAGGGATGGAAAAACCAGAGCGAGGAGCAGTTCTCCCACTGGAATTGGACTACCACCTGGCCCCCATTTCCCAAATTAAATCTTTTCTAAAGTCTCTTTTCATTTGTGCGAGGCCTTCTCCAGAACTCAAACCCTGAACCGGAACCCTGAATCACGTGGGGCGTGAAAGGGGCTTCCACAATGGAAGCCATTAAATGAGTATTAATTGTAATATTAATATTAATTTGTTATAATTAGACTTGCAAGCATTAAGATGCCATTTGGGAAAAACCTGAAACAGAAAGCAGTAATGACAGGGTAATGTACTATATATAATAGGTTTTACATACCATCTAGTGGTGATCTGGAGAATTTCATCATTGTACATATTTCACTGTAAAATCTGAGGACATTTTATTTTTCCATAATAATCTTTAAACAGCATCATAAGTTGGCAATACATTTATAACGTCCTATTTACGTAGTTCGTGGGCCCAGTGAGAGAATTGCATACCATCTGAAGGTTCATTTCAATTGATGGTCAAGAAACTGGCTTCCTAGTGCTGACATTAGCAAAAGCTGAAATTTTAAAAATGTGGAATAAATTCGCCTCCAGAAAATAATCATGTGCTCTCAGAAACAGTGTGGATTGAGCTAGATGCTGAGGTTTGCCCGTGAGTCTCGTAGGCGAGCCTTTTTTTCTGGGGAACAAACAGT